AAAAAAAAAAAGGTACGGATCCACAAATTGAATGGTCGGGGCGCCAATTTTCCGACGTTTCAGATCTGCAGGCAGCCCTCAACCGAGCTGGGGAGCTGCGCTCTGCTGCCGAAAAAATATGCCAAAAAATCCAATCTAGGCGCCAAGCCGCGTGCCTGGCCCGTTTAGCCCTGTCCGGCCCAGCCTCTGCAGTGTGTGGTGGCGGCGCCTCTGGTCTCGGCGAGCGCCGCTCTTGCAACGGAGTACAGTAGCCAGTACAGCAACACGCTTGGCTCGCCCGCAAGCAGGTTCGCCCTGCAGAGAAGCGCTGAGAGAGCGTGGTTTCGCTTCTTACCCACGTCCTAGACCCGCCTCGCCGCTGCAAGCGAGGCGCAATTGCATCGCCGCTTGCCGCCCAACGTTGTCTCCATCTGCTTTTCTTCCCCATGCGGCCCGCAAGCCTCGCCCGAGGCCTGCACTGTCCAACGTGGCCCGATTTGCACAGATAGCCGCTCGCCATTCTGGGCGTCGGCGTCCAACTTTATCCTGCTCTAGCCGTGCACCAGCTGCGTGCATACCTGCGGCGTTCCAGACGTGGCGTCTTGGTCTCGGAGCGTACTTACGTTTGTGTGCCAGTCGCTGGCTGATATCTTCCAGCGCCTCGTGCACCTGCTGCACGTCTTGGTCTGCATCGATCATGTCGAGATACCGAAGGTCCGTGATGAAGTCTCTCGCCCTGCCGTTCGCGTCTGTGCCTGCCGCCGCTTGGGTGGCGCTGACCTCGCGGTGTCGCGCGCCCACAATGTCTCGCGCTTCTTGGCCCCCAGCAGCACGGTCATCCTTGCTCTCTTCGGCCAACTCTTGACAGCTGCACGGTCCAGATTCGGTCTGGTTGCCAGATTCGGCTTGTCGCGAGCCACTGCGTTCGAATCCCGGCGTGGCTGCCTCAGGGTTGACGTTGGCGTTGGCGTTGACATCTAGATCTTGTCCATTCGCAGTCGTCAAAGTACCTGGCGCGCTATCCGACGCATCACCTTTCCCACGCTGTCCCAGCCCACTTTGACGGTCCGCCGCTGCGCCGACCATGCTTTCCGAAACTGGAGACGCCGGCGCCTCATACTTTGTTGGGGATACCGTCACTTCCGTCGATGGTGCAGAGCTTCCAACATCGACGGCACGCAATCCTTGCGTGCGTGGGGAATCGTCGTGCAGCGAGCCCTGGCGATCCACCTTGTAGCCTGGCTTGTTGTCTGACTCTCGAGCACGTTGACGCGACAGACCCATCTGCATATAAGTCGCCTTGCTAAACACCTCTATCGTATGTCTTGGCCCCACCGTCGACCGGAACATCTTTGGCAGCAAGAAGGGATAGTCGGAGAAGTCCGTGTGCTTGCTCCCCGTCAGCGTCAACAGCCATCCCCTCGACGACGTCTTGCGCGCATCCAAGCAGATCCGCTTGAGCTTGTCGAAATGCTCCTCCCATACAGTAAACGACTCGGAATTCAGGACGTAGACGGGCTTGCCGATTCGTCCTTTGACCTCGTCTTCTTCCTTGGCTGGATCGCGTACTGGCTCGACCCAGGGATCTAAGACGATCGCCATGGGAAACGGATTCGGCTTGCGCATCAACTCCAACACCGTCGCACCTCCAAACGAGTGGCCGCAAAGCGTCGGGAACTCGAGATCCAACTTGCCCTTCCAATCCTCCAACGGACGATCCGCCTTGAGAACACTGTTGCCCGGCAGCCGCGCGTTCGTCGCCGATGCCGAGTGACCCGCAAGCTTCGTACCCAAATTTCGCGTAGATCGCTGGACGATCTCGTATCCGCGGCCTTGGTTGATCTCGTTGAGAACGTAGAGCGTCTCTTCGACTTCGGCATGCCGCATCTCGATTTGGTCCCTTCGCAGATCCACCTCGCGCTCCGATGGCTCGGTCGCAAACGATTGTAACCCTATTGTCTCGAATGTAAAGTATGGAACCGATGCCTTCATGCGGCCTGATGAGGGATGCCCGATGATCTTTGGTAGAGAGGCGCTTTTTCCGGCTTGATTGGGAGCCTCTTCGCCTCGCACAATGCTGCTCACGCCCGAGCCGTCGCGGTGCTCGATGGCAGCTACGATGATGCCTTGGCTGGCCAATTCGCCGCAGAACTGCGAGTAGCTCAGTCGATTACCCGCCAGACCATGCGAGAAGACGACGACAGGGAATTGCGGGGGTCTTTTGCCAAAGTTGCCCGCCTTGGCGCGGTCCGTGCCTTGGCGGTCGGGATGCGCCTGTTTGCGCAGCTCTTCGGGATCGGCGAGCGGGGGTCCGACCCGAGCAGGCAGACGTGCGTTGATGAGCGTCATCACCGCTGGGCTCGCAGGGATGGCAAAGAGGCCGTACTGGCCTACGTACTGCAGCAGCGCACGCACACCAGCGTGAACGGGGCGGCCAAGCCAGGCGGCCCGAGGGTATCGCTTCTCCTCGCTCTCGGCCATGGGGAGCGTCGGGTAGTAGATCGTGAACAGCACTGTCTCGAGATGAAGCGTGCACGTTTTCGACCCGCTAGACCACGGCGACCAGGGCAGCTTGGAGGCGGACTCGTCCTTCTCTTGGCACGAATCTTCTTCTTGGGCATGGTCGCTTGCTTGCGCTGCAGACGCATTCGTGCTTTGACTTTCGGTGCTCGTCGCAGTCTGTGCCTCCGGTCGCGAACGAGAGCTTGCCGTAGCGTTTTGGGTCCCACCGGGCTTCTGCTTTGGCTCTGCCGAATCCGCAAGTCTCTCATCGCGGCCTCGCTTGTCCCGTCGGCTCTGTTTGGCCTCCTGGTTTTGCTGTTTTGCCCTACGCCGCGCCTTACGAGCGGGTTTGTTGAGCTCGCCCGGTTCCACCACATTGTCGCAGAAGCTCCGTGGCTTCCTAACAGGGATCTCGAGATCGAGCACGCCGACCTTGAAAGGCCCAGTGTACGGAGGAAGACCCATGGCGTCGCGAAAGTCGTTGCGAGGGCTTGACGATCAGCTGTCGTTGTTGGCCATGCGGAGAAGGTCCTGGTGCTGTGATGGAGTTGGTGGTGCCGATGTATGTGTTCGTAAGGTTCACACCAACCCGGCGAATCGAGAGAGAAACGGACAGTACCCCTGAGACCTCCGGGATCTCGACGATTCTGTGCATGCAACCCAAGAGCGTGAAGCTGCAAGACATCCGTTCCAAAACCTGGCCGGCGGCCGTGGCCATTCGAAGAAGATGTTAGGGTATGGCTGCACGATGCGGTCCTCCTGCCGTCAGGAACTGGAGATCGTGGTCATGGCATCTATGCGGCCAACACGGACCTTGGCCGCTTCGCCAGCTTCGCGGTGCAATATGAGGTCATCGTGCGAGCCACGTGAGCTTGTATTATTAGGGTCTAACATCACCGGGAAAACCTCACTCCATGACTGCGATCTTCTCTCGCTCCCTACCTTCAGGCTCAACGCTGCTCGCCGGCCCACGAGCAGGAGCATTGGGTGAATTGATTGCACTGGGTGATTTGGTGTTCAGGTATCTACATGGCGCTCTCCTCTTGACGACAAGAGAACAGAGTTCAAGGCTGGTCCGTTACTCGAGGTTGGAGGCCACCTTCTCAGTGGCACGGGCATTGCCAAAGATCCAGTTCCACAGTCCGGTCGACTCGGGCTTCTGCGTGCCCTCGACCTTGCGGGCACCTTGGTGCAGCTTGTCGCCGGCATAGTCAAGGCCGTCGGCAGTCTTGGACTTGAGCGACTCGTAGCCGCTGTCCGCCTTGTCCTTGAGGGTGTAGAAGCTCGAGTTGGCCTCGTCCTTGAGGTTCTTGTAGCCCTGCTGCGACTGGTCGCGCAGGTTTTGGTAGCTGCTCTCGGCCTGGTTGCGTGCGTCGCGCGCCTTGGCGTCCAGGTCCGACTTCCACTCCTGACCAGTCTGCTTGAGGTCGCTCTTGAGTCCCTTGTAGTCACCCTTGAGCTGCTTGACATCGTCCGAAAGACGTCCCTGGACCTCACCGGCACGCACCTCGGCGTTGTACTGCGCCGCGAGAATCTTTTGCTGAGCATTGTGCTCGAGCTGGTCGCGGTAGCTGTGGACATTGCTGCGAGCCTCGTCGGCAGCATCCTCGGCCTTGCCCTTAAGGTCAAACCAGCCCTTCTGAGCCTCATTCTTGGCGTGGTCGTACTTGTCCTCGGCAGCCGACTTGGTAGAGAACCAGCTGGACTTGGCTTGTGCAGCCGCCTCGTCTGCCTTCTGCTCGGCAGCAGACTTGGTCGAGAACCAGCCTTGCTTGGCCTGCTCCCCAGCCTCTGCCGCCTTGTCCTTGGCGGAGAACCAGCCAGACTTGGCGTGTGCAGCCGCCTCATCGGCCTTCTGCTCGGCGGCCGACTTGGTGGAGAACCATCCGCTCTTGGCTTGAGCCGCGGCCTCGTCGGCCTTCTGTTCGGCAGCAGACTTGGTGGAGAAGAATCCCTGCTTGGCGTGCTCGCCGACCTCCTCAGCCTTGTCCTTGGTAGCGAACCAGCCCTGCTTGACCTGCTCCTTGGCTTCGGCCGCCTTGTCCTTGGCCGCGTTCCAGCTTTGCTTTGCGGAGTCAGCAGCCTCGTCCGCCTTTTGTTCAGCAGCCGACTTGGTCGAGAACCAGCCCTGCTTGGCGTGCTCTCCAGCCTCGGCTGCCTTGTCCTTGGCGGTGAACCAGCCCTGCTTGGCCGACTCGGCGGCCTCGTCAGCCTTCTGTTCGGCAGCCGACTTGGTGGAGAACCATCCACTCTTGGCCTGGTTGGCGGCTTCATCGGCCTTGTCCTTGGCCGTGAACCAGCCTTGCTTGGCGGATGCGGCGGCCTCGTCAGCCTTCTGCTCAGCAGCCGACTTGGAGGAGAACCAGCTGCTCTTCGCCTCGTTGGCAGCCTCGTCAGCCTTGTCCTTGGTGGTGAACCATCCAGACTTGGCTTTGGCTGCGGCCTCATCGGCCTTATCTTCTGCTGCGGACTTGGTGGAGCGCCAGCTGGACTTGGCGTCCTGCTTGAGGGCCTCGGCCTTGTTGGCAGCCGAGTCGGCAGCATCCTCGGCGCTGTTCTTTGCCGAGCGCCAGGTGCTCTTCACGTCGCTCTTGGCATCGTGGAGCTTCTGCTCGGCGTGGTCTACCTTGTTGCGAACGTTGTTGCGCAGGTTCTCGAGTTCCTTGGAGACGGTGCCGTAAGGGACGCTGCCGGGGATCTGGTTGGGATCGTTGTGCTTGAGGTCGGTGCCCGGACGCGCGATGATGCCGGACACGCCTCGGGCGGCGTCGGAGCCGAGAGGAGGGCGCTCGTGGAGATCGGTGGTGGCTCCGGCGTGGGGCTTGAGGTCGGGCAGGGCGTTGCTGCCAGGGGGACCGGCTACAAAGGTGCCGTTGGTGTCCTTGGCGTACTGCTGCAGCAGCGGATCAAAGACGTAGTATCCGATGCCAACACCGACGGCAGAAGCGCCGAGGAGGGGCAGCACACGCTGTCGAAAAGCCATTGTGAAGGTGACACGCTGAGCCTACGGGTAGGGAGCAGCTGCGAAGGTGCTTAGGATAGCTCGTTGAAAGAAGGAAGGGTATCGATGGTCCTCGCGCGAACCGGATGGAGATGGTGGTGATGGAAGAAGGGGAAGGAGAAGAGGCGCCCTCGGCGGGAGACCGATCGTAGGGCGGATAGCGGGTCGGGAGGTGACTGCTATTTTTGAGCTCAGAAAGAGAAGCGAGGCCAGCTGAGCACTTGTCAAGAAGCAAGCGAGCTACACACGGGTCACCAAGAGCGGTCGGCCTCATGCGGGCGGACTCATCCAGGCCTCTTTCAAGGTACTGACTGCGAGCCAGTAGAGGACGGATGGATGCTCCCCCGCCCGCCCGGCCGCTCATTCCAACGACGTTCGGGACTGACGTAGGTGCGGAGCCCAGAATGCGCCTAACCTGCTGGCTCCAACTGAAAGCACGGGCACACTCGACCCAGACCCTTGTGTTCGGCAGCGTTGCCAGCTGTGCTTGAACCCGCACCCGCTTCCAAAAACGGCAACGAGGCAGCGGGGCCAAGAGTGACAAACATCCGTGCGTTCCTCCACACAAGACGTCGCTCGCCAAGGCAATCAATTGCCTATGACGCCAATCTGCATCGGCTGTTCGCAAGACGCGAAGAAGAAAAAAGCGTGTCGTACGGCTGGTCTTGATCTCGGGTTTCGGCCAGGCCAAGCTTCGACCTTGGACCCTGAAAGCTAGGTTGGACTGGTGCGGTTCTTTGGGCACCCACAAGACGTCCAACGATGAGGATCAACCGCAACGCCGTATTGGTGGGCCGTAGGTCTGTGCTGGTGCCATATCGCAAGCAGCACGTACCGCGCTATCATGAGTGGATGAAAGATCCGCTCATCCAGGAACAGACCGCCTCGGAGCCACTCTCCCTCGAGCAAGAGTACGAGATGCAGCAGTCATGGGCCGTGGACGAGGACAAGCTCACGTTCATCATTCTCGCACGCCCCGACACTGGCTCGAACGGAAACGAAGACAAAGATACGATCGATCTTCTGCCCAATTGCACCATGGTTGGCGACGTCAATATCTTTCTGAATGCGCGGCATGAATATGACGATGAAGACGAAGAACAAGCACGCAAAGACTCTTCTTCCCAACCAGCAGACATTTACGATGCCGAGTGTGAGATCATGATTGCAGGTAAGTGTGCAGTCCCAGGCTCCCTTGATGCTTCGGAACTGGAATCACGTTGACACGGCTGCCATCCTGTATACCTCAGAGCACGGCTATCGTCGCAAGGGAATCGCACGCGAAGCGCTCAAGATGATGTTCGAGTATGTCACCGCTGCACCAACGCCGACCGCCGAATCTGGCAAGATGCCTCAAGTCGACAAGCCGAGCTCGCACTGCAGCCTGCCTATTCCGCCAGAATGGCTCACATGCAAGATCTCTCTGACCAACCAAGCCTCTATCCGGCTATTCGAGTCGCTCGGCTTCCCCCGCCAATCCGTCAGCGAGGTGTGGCAAGAGGTCGAGATGCGCCTCACCGACAACTCTCGCGCTCTTCCTCGTCAGGACGGCGGCACCTCATCCACTTCCAGCTCGTCTATCCTGCAGGTACTGTTCTGGCAAGACGAGTAGTTGTATCGTCAGAGCCATCGCCGCGGTTCAGTAAGAATCTATTGTACACTAGCCCATGGCGTGCGGTCGGTGATCGCACTGAGCTCGTCCGCTGTGAGGTCCAGACCGTGCTGGGCGCGGAGATGGCGTCGAAGGTCGTACAAGCGCTTGAAGCGGTGCTCACAAGCATCTCTCGACGTCGCCGCGGCTGTCGATGGAGATTCAGCGCCAGTTGCTCGCAGCGCAGGGTCCAGCACCTGCTCATCGAGCTCATGGCAGATGCTCGTCCACGGACACGCAAAGATGCGATCGCGAGTCGTGCGTCGCCTCTTCGCTGGCATCTTCGCACTTCCGTTCTCCGATGCCGGACGTTTTTCCGATCCGACCTGCTTGTTGGCCGTCATGGCTGATGAGTAGCCACGTCCCGTCAACAAGTCCAGCAGTCGAGGCTTGATCGATGGCGACAAGCCAATGGTAGCAGCGTTGCCGTCCAACAGTTCGCTGTTGCGCTCTTGGCTGCCTTCAAAACGCGTCTCGCTTTCTCCATCACTGTCCGAGATCATGGAAGAGGCTTCTGAAGAGCTGTCTTGGCCCTCTGCCTCGTCGTGTGACGCATTGCCGCTTGTCGAGAAGCGCAGTCTGCTGCGCGTGTCCGTCGTCTGTTCAGGCGACGATCGGGTTCCAGTGCACACTCGGCGGTGGCGCGATACCAGATGCTTGTGCGCAAAGCGTCGGCCGCAGTCGGGGCATTCGAAAGGTCGTTCGCCCAGATGCGCCGTTCTCACGTGGATGGAAAGTGTATTTTTGCGGGTGAAGACCTTGTCGCATCCGTTCCAGGTGCAGGGAAACGCGGATGCGGACGGATCACGCGCACTGGTGAGCGATGTAGCGACACTACCTGGCCGGACTGACGCGGTTCCTCCAGATGCAGAAGTGATGATACTGAGGGCGGGAGAGCTGAGGTCTCGGAACACGCCTCCTCGACGTGGCCGCGTGGAACGGAGGTGAGCCGCTTTGTTGACCAAGTCCTCGTCGCTGGGCACAGGAGATGCCTGTTGGGGTACCCTCGGCGCGATCGGATGAACCGGCAAACGCTGATCGAAGCCACTTGTAGATTGTGGCTCTCTCGTGGGGTGCGGCTCCTGCTCTTCTTCCTCCTCCTCGGACGACGACGCTCCACTGTCATCGGAAAGCTCTGCACGCAAGTGGTTGAGTTCCGCCTCGTGGCTGCCTTCCAGCACTTTGGCTTCAAGCTCGAGCCGAAGCTTGCGATTCTCGTGCCTGCGATAGTGGGCGCGGAGGTTGTCCTGGCGCTGGAACATCCTGCCACAGCCGGGCCACGGACATACGGGGGGATGTGCTTCTTTCATATGCGCCTGCAGAGCTGACCACGTGGGGAATCTGTAGACGAGCGATGCCTGCTCCCCGTTCTCCTGCCTCTGCGGTTGCGCATGTTGCATAGTGCAGGTATACCTGCCGTCTTGGTGGGTCCGAGCGTGTGTCTTGCGCTTAGAATTCGAGGCAAAGCGCTTGCCACAGCCCGGATGCGGGCAGACGAAGGGCAGTGCTGACGGCGACTGCTCCGCGTCCGATGCTGCTTCCTCTTGGCGAGCCGTCGCTTCTGCATTAAGGTGATCCGCATGGTGGTCGCGTATATGTTGACGAAGTTGCTTGCGTTTGTGGAATGTCTGCTCACAGCCGGGCTCGGTACATGGGTAGTCGTGCGCGCTGGCGCCCGTCGCTGTCGACAAGTGATCAGCATGACAGGCTTGGACGTGGTTCTTGAGTTGGCTCGTTGTCCAGAACCGGAGCGTACACCCTTCTTCTTGGCATGCAAACGGTTTGTCGGATGGATCCTGGTGGCGGCGCTGGTGAGCTTTGAGGTGCTCGTTTCTCATGTAGCTGGCTCCGCATCCCTCGTGGTCGCAGACGAAGGGCCTCTCGCCCGTGTGGCTGCGGATATGCTGGGCAAGCTTGGATGCTTTGGTGTAGCTCTTGCCGCATCCCTCGTAAGGGCAGCGGTGAGCGTCTGGGACGTTGCTAGGTCCGGGCTGAGACGCTTCCAGCAATGGCTGGTCCGCCAGCTGCGCAGCGGCAGATTGCGAGCCGCATCCGCCGATATTCAGGGTCATGGGCTGCTGCAAGATGCCCTGAAAGACATTGAAATGGCGAGCCTTGAGCCCGACAGAGGTGCTCAGCAAGCCCAGTGGGTTGACGATGGTGTGCGGATTGGTGAAGAGGTGAGTCCCAGGGTCAAGCGTACACTGCGGGCCGCGTTCTTTTTTTCCGAGGAGCGGCAAGGCCTTAAATTTCGAAGCCTCCACCTGTGCTCCATGTGGACCCTGCTTCTCGACGCGCCAGGGCGCGACCCTGGACAGGTCGTTCTTCGATGCTGAGCCTGCTCTGTCACCACAACCCAGGGCGCTGGCCATCCGACTCTCTCTCCACACAAGGCCTCACGTAGCCTCCAGGAATCTCGGTTGGAAGTCCCGGCTGACCATGGCGAGGAGCCACCAGCAGCCTGCGGCGTCGCACTGATCATGTCGTCAGCGGGAACGAACGCGGCGCAGCGGCTGCCGTTTGCTTCGGAGCCGTTGGATTCCACGTCCATCACGTTGGATCGTCGTCTAGAGAAGCTCGCAGAGCTAGGTAGCCTGCGAAAGCGCTGCAACGAGGCTGCTGGAACACTCACGATCGATCACGAGGCTCAAACCATCCGCCAGCTCATTCAAGCGAAAGCGGTTGACGAGGACTTTTCGGTAGCTGTGCGCGAGCGCTGGCAGACGTGGTCGCGCAATGCGAACCCCTTCCGCTCCGAGCTGGCCTCAGCGGCTGCTTCCGAGGTCAGCAAAATAGCCGAAGCCGAAGCTTCCTCTGGATCAGAATCAGACTCGCAGTTGGATGACTCGGCTTCGGAAGGGCCGGAAGAGCCCTCCGGGTCCGGGTCCGGATCGACCAACAAGGGGAAGAGGAAGAGCGTCTTCCGCCTCAAGGCGCCCAAGAAGCGCGTCGGCTCCTCCGAGCGCGGCATGGACGAAGATTGGGACGCCGTCCGCAGAGAACGAGAGGCCCGACTCACGGAGCTTGATGCATTGCTGCCGAACGCCTTCCGCTTCACCGAACGCCAGCTCAAGGTGTATGCACATCGGTTAAAGCAAAAGTACCTCAACTCGCTCGACCGTCCCTTCGAAGCTGTCCAACTCCAGAAGCTACTTCACCCTTCCCGGAAAGCGGCGCAACCTGGTGCGCTGCAGCCGTCGCAAGATGCTTCGGCTCCCGGACCATCGATCCAAGACGCGCCGTCGCGTCCGAGCGTCTATCACATCTCGTTCTTCATCAGCAGTCTCGATTCGAGCACAGACGATGTGGCAGCACAGCAAAAGAATGCAGATCCGGCGGCCGTGTCGGACGTAGATGCCAGGGACAACTATGTCAAACGCATCTGCGGCGACGGACTCGGGGGCAGCAAGCGTTCCCAAACCATCGAGCTTCTCTCGACGCAGACGCTGTCGGACCTCCTGGGCACCCTTGTCTGCTGGTCTGATGAGCAGCCGGAGCGGCACGGCTGGCAACAGCGCCTCCAGAAGTCTTTGTACGGCCACATTGCGACATCAGCTAGCCAGGAAGCAGTCGCGTCCATGCAGCAGGACCACAGCGGAGATGAAGATACTCAGGAAACTTGCTCGGCGCGGTATACGGGCCGTCGGCGGCACACCGACGCGGCGCTCATCATCGAGGACAAACTGTACGGCAAAGGTCTGAGGGCAGGTGATGCTCCCTACGAAGCCGACTACGCGACGCTGCTCAACGAATGGAAGTCACGCTGCGGTCTTTCCGATGTCCGAGCGGGTTGGATTAGCAGCGGTGGCGACCTCAGTCTCCGGCTTGATCAGCTGGGCACCATTCGGATCGGCCGACCGTACTGGCTGCTGCACCAGGGCGACTGTGTGCACGCTTTCGTGATTGAGCAGATCCGTGCCTTGCGGCCCCTCGAAGAGAAGGGGAGCTTTTCACCCGATCTCGAGAACATCCCCATCGGGTCTGCCGTCACGCCTTTTCCGCGGATCACTTGGCTCTCGACCCCATCCATGTTGCGATTCGCCGCAGACGACAAGGACAACTATGGTCTGGGTCATCGTATCCTCCTGTGGGAGGGACTGATGCCAATGCAAAGCTTTGCGGCGGGGCTGGGGGTCGAAGGACTGGCCGCAGGCGATCTGACGCAGCGCAGCGCACTGCAGGTTGCGTTGGGCCGAACCAGGAGAAAGGACGAGGGAATGCTGCGAAAAAAGCAAGGCAAGTGCCTGGCGTGCTCACTGCGCAAGGCCCAGATCGGCATCCTGGGTGGAGACCGTGTGCGCCTCCCAGTCGGCTCAGACGACGAGCGCGACAGGCAGCCGGAAATCAGCGCGCTGGACGACCACTTGGTCACTCTCTGTGTGTCGTGTGCGGCGATCCTTGGTCTGCCGACTCGCGAACCCGAGCCTGGCGCGAGCGAAGCTCCGATTCAGCTCGACTGGCAGCGCATCCATGCCGAAAAGCCTCGTGAGGCAGGCTGGACCGTATTCCCAATGTACTGATGCTATCATCCTGCGTCCAAACGAACTTCACACGAAAAGCTACACCCACACTCAAGGTTTCGGCGATTCACAGAGTTGAGAGCGGTGTAGGTATGGCAGGAACAGGAACGCTAGTGGAACAGGAAGAATGCATCACGGTCTAAATGCAGAGTCTGGGAGCCGACCGGGTTGGCAGTGGACCCGGCCGAACGGTTGCGAAGAGGTTTATATTATCGTACAGAGTCGTGGGTCGAGCGGACAATAGCGCAAGCCAGCCAGTCCATTAATGGGCAGCTGAACATGTCATGATGTGCTCGCGCGGTGATTTTGGTGCAAGGAATCCGATCGAAGCGAGGCCTCGAGCTGGTTTAGCCGTGGATCTTGGTGACGATACCAGTGCCAACGGTCTTGCCGCCCTCACGAAGGGTGAATCGCGAACCCTCCTCGAGAGCAATGTCGTGAACGAGCTCACCGTCGAGCTCGACATTGTCACCGGGCATGACCATCTTCTCGTCGGCGTCCGGGGTGCCGGCGGGGTGAGTGAGCGAGACGGTGACGTCGGCGGTGCGGATGAAGAGCTGAGGACGGTAGTTGTTCATGAAGGGCGTGTAACGGCCGCCCTCCTCCTTCTTGAGGATGTAGACCTGGGCGGTGAACTTCTTGATGGGCTTGATGGAGCCGGGGATGACCATGACCTGGCCACGCTTGACCTGCTCACGCTTGACACCACGGAGGAGCGCACCCATGTTGTCGCCGGCCATGCCCTGGTCGAGCTGCTTGTGGAACATCTCGATACCGGTGAGCGTGGTCTTGAAGGTGTTGCCGAGACCGAGGATCTCGACTTCGGCACCCTTCTGGATGGTGCCTCGCTCCACACGGCCGGTCACGACGGTACCACGGCCCGGGATGGAGAAGACGTCCTCGACGGGCATGAGGAAAGGCTTCTCGAGGTCACGGGGCGGCAGGTCGAGCCACTTGTCGGTCTCCTCCATGAGCTTGAGGATGGCCTGCTGGCCGACCTCGGGGTCGCGGCTCTCGAGAGCGGCGAGCGCGGAGCCGGAGACAATGGGCGTGTTCTCGCCGTCGAAGCCGTAGGTGGAGAGGAGGTCGCGCATCTCCATCTCGACGAGCTCGAGCATCTCGGGGTCGTCGATCTGGTCGACCTTGTTGATGAAGACGACGAGCTTCTTGATACCGACCTGCTTGGCGAGCAGAAGGTGCTCACGGGTCTGAGGCATCTGACCGTCGGGAGCGGAGACGACGATGATGGCGCCGTCCATCTGTGCAGCACCGGTGATCATGTTTCGGATGTAATCGGCGTGACCGGGGCAGTCGACGTGGGCGTAGTGGCGGTTGCCGGTCTCGTACTCGACGTGGGCGGTGGAGATGGTGATACCACGGGCACGCTCCTCGGGAGCCTTGTCGATGGAGGCATAGTCGATAAACTTGCCGGTACCCTGAGCCTCATGGAGGGTCTTGGTGATGGCGGCGGTGAGCGTGGTCTTGCCGTGGTCGACGTGGCCGATGGTGCCGATGTTCATGTGGGGCTTGGTGCGCTCGAACTTGCCGGACTCGGCGGCGTAGGTGCGCACCTGCGAGGCGATGGCGACGCGGGGGAGCTGGGCGGCGCAGACGCGGGCACGGCCGGCAAGGGTGGCGGGCGACTTGGCCGAGGGGCGGGTGACGAGCGTGCGGGCGGCAGCGGGAGCAGCAGCCACCGACCTCTGGGAGGCCAGCGACCTGGCGAGGGAGCGGGGTGCCTGGGTGCGGAGAAGGCTCATCTTGAAGACAGGATTGTCGGGTCAAGTGAAAGAGGGAGGGGATACGATGAGGAGGTGATGACGGTGGAGGAAGGAGGCTCGCACGAGCGAGCTTGACTTTTTCTGCATCAGCAGCAGCAGCAGCAGCAGCAG